CCTTCCTTCCTTCCTTCCTGTCTTTCCTCAAAATTGGCTAATACGGTGTTTATCCTGAAAATGTTTTCAACTATTAGAGAGGCATTTTCAGGCCATATTCCTGGAAATGAGATGCCGAATGGGTCAATACTGTTTGCACATGCGCTTCATGCGTGCATCATCGGGAGATCAATATGATTGCACTGGTATGGAGATTTGTATCACACCTGTTCTCTGACATCACGTAGAAACAGCTGCTGTTTCTTTTATTGTTTTGTTTTGTTGTTTTTCTTCCCCCCCCTTTCTTTTTTAAAAGCTAAATTTTGAGTTTGTGTATAATGATGTGTCAGAGATACATTGTAAACTAGAAATGCTTTCTTCTTTTTCGCTGTGTCCCTCCCTCTGGAACTCTCCCACCTATTTCTCCTTTGCCAGCGATCATATTTAAATTACCAAAAAAAAAAAAAACAATAGGGTTGATCTGTAAATGAATTGTCAGGCAGAACACAAAAAGATTGTTGTTCTCAGCCTGCCAGGTTCTGAAACTTCTTTCTGTCAAGAACTGTATGCATTTTAATATATGTGTTTGGATGTCAATCCATTCTCTGCAGCTGGCCCTGAACTTGGAATAATAAAGCTTTTTGAAACACCCGCATACACTGACATCTCAAACATTCGGAGCGTTCAGATATAGCTCTCAATTTGTGTAAAATGTGTGGTTTTGTCCTGTCTCTAATACAGCTGTATCTACAGCAGACTCCATAATCCAAAATATTAAGATCTGTGAGGAAATTGCTGTAAAATACTGAGTAGGAAGAAGAATAGTCCCCAAGTGTAACCTTGTGTAACATGCTATTAACACACATCCGTGTATACGTAGAGTATTTGTTTCATGGTAAGTCAATATTCACTGTATCGGTATAAGGCGTTTTGTGTAGTCCGTCTTCCTCAAAGTACAATCTCTCAACAGAGGAACTGTTGCCTATGTCAAGAACGGGTCATCTCAGGACCTCTCTTTTACAAAGAACATGTCTGCGTAAAGTTTTTGTGGGTGTGGATGGATTGCAAGAAAAACCTGGTTATTTGGAAAGATTTGGGATTTGGAATGAGAAAATTTGGAAGCCTGTCCAGACGCTTCCCCACCTAAAACTCAAGAGAGACGAAGAAGCCTCCAGCATCCTCCCTTGTCCTGGATGCATTTGTTGTCTGAGCAGGTTTCTCACACAACTGGCTTCTTCCATGGAGCAGCAGCTCCAATAAAGGTAGAACATCCTGTTCTGGTAGCAAGAGGAAACTTGCTAGCTTCATCTTATTTCCAGGTTATTGCAAAAAGAATGTTTCTGGAAAAGGGCATTTCTACAAAGGTTGTCCTATTTCACATCTGCAGTATCAGATTTAAGGGCATTTCTGAGCACGACTGCATCATTTCAATCTGCAAGGATTTATTTCTTTTCAGTGTCAGGCAATTGAGTCCTTCAGCATCCTTCCCTGCTGCATTATTTTGACATGCTGCTTCTCAGAGTAGCACAAGTTTGTTGATAAAACAAATCCTCTCAAACATATTGACTAATTGCTGTGTTCTTTGGGTGGCAGGTATGTGGGCTGTTATGGTGAAATTATTTCTGCACTTAAATGAGATTCTCAAACTCAGAACATGCTATTGGTAAAAGTTGTACTAATGGGATGAATACAAATACACTGCATAATTATTTTCTTCTTAACATTGACTTAAAAGTTGTCTGTTTTCACGTAATGGACGATGGATTGAACTAAGAGGTAGGGCAGATTTCACCTAATAAATACCTCTGGAAAAAAATATTGCAAAGGAAAAGTAAGTTTCATTATCAGTAGATAGTTGGCAGTTAACATCTGAAGAGCTTTCATCATCTTTAACCAAAACTGATGGAAACAGGAACTTCTTCCTGTGGTTGAGTTGAAGGTAAACCATTCCTCATGTAGATGTGGAATCTCTAGTTTTGATAATCTACCCTACGGTAGGCATTCAGACTATCTGTAGGGCACCCTAAAGGTCTAGCTTTATTCACCATGGTTTATGGGAAGTACAGGATGCTGTGACTGAGAGAACTCTGATCTTACAGATGGAAGTTTCTGGTAGCTGATGAAGGTTTCACTACTCAGTGCTTGTGGCTTTTTTCAGACCATAAACTGTGTACAGGAGGCCTTCACATTTTAAGTCAGATAAAATAGATAAATGTGTGCTATTAGCTAAGCTACTTCTCATTGGTGACTTGAGAGTAGCAATTGGATTGTGTATGATGAAGGCCAGAATGGGTCAAGCTGTGTTAGACACTTCAAACACATTTTCTTCTCTTGTGTTCTCAGCACCATAAACTAGCATGGAGGAAGTGCAGAAGGTCTGATTACTCCGTATAAATTGTGAACAGGATGTGATGTAGTGAGGCAAGGTTTGATGCATAAGTGGAATGGAAACTATGACAGTTTGTTAAGCAAGTCACAAAGCTTACCAGGATATTGAAAAGATGGAGAGAAGTGCAAAGTTTCAATGGAAAATGGAAGTAGAAAAATTGTAAGGGAAGCATTAAAACCATTGACTGAGTGAGGACAGATTATGAAGTGTAATGGTCTATTGCTATGCTGATTTGATCTATTGATCAGGTACCTTTCTGAATAATCGCAGAGAACGGAAAAACAAACAAAACACAGACCATGGAATTTCTAGGGCAGAAATAGACCCTCCAATTTCTGAGGCTGCAATGCTCTCAGTAGTAGAAATTCCAACATTGTTTCTAAGTGAGTTTTGAGAACTTAAGAAAAACTATTTAGTAATTGCTCGAAACCTGCTCTAAACATCTATTTAAGATGCTTTTGTTCTAGAGGAAAGTCTAAATGCTGGAAAGGCATCACCACAAGCAGCTCTATGCAGCTCATTTCCACAGAAAGGGTTAAGAATTGCCATAGAGGGATGGAGCATGGAAAGAGCAAAGCTGTAAGTTAGAATGGCCCCCTGAA